ATAACAATATTATCAACATAAACCACCAGATAAATACAGAGATTTGAAGCAGAATGCCGATAAAACACAGAGTGATCAGCTTCACCACGAGTCATGCCAAGCTCCTGAATAATTATGTTGAACTTACCAAACCACACTAGAGGAGACTGCTTTAGACTATAGAGGGACCGGCACAGCCGACATACAAGGCCACTAGACTCCCCCTGAGCAACAAAACAAGGTGGTTTCTCCATATAAACCTCATCCTCAAGGTCACCGTGAATAAAAGCATTCTTAATGTCCAACTGATAGAGAGGCCAATGGCGAACAGCAGTCATGGATAGAAAAAGGCGGACTAATACTATTTGAGCCACGGGAAAGAAAGTATCACTGTAATCGAGCCCAAATATCTGAGTATACCCTTTGGCAACAAGACAGCCTTAAGTCGGTCAACCTGGCCATCTGGACCAACTTTTACTGCATACACCCACCGACAACCAACAATCGATTTACCCGAAGGAAGAGGAACAAGCTCCCAAGTACCACTTGTATGTAAAGCAGACATCTTGTCAATCATAGCTTGTCGCCATCCTGGATGAAACAGTGCTTCACCGGTAGACTTAGGAATAGAAACAAAGGACAACGATGATACAAATGCACAATGGGGTGATGACAGTCGATGGTAACTTAAACCGACATAATGGGGATTAGGATTAAGTGTGGACCGTATATCTTTCCGTAGTGCAATCGGTTGACTAAGAGGAGACAAGTCCGCAGTATTAGCAAAGTCAGTTGCAGGACGTGAATCAGGTGGGCCTGATGCTAGGCGCAGACGACAATGATAAGTCAGGAGTGGTGGAGCTGCAGAAGGTTGAACTAAATTAGGTGGTGGAACTGGAGCTATAGGTGGTGGAGTTGCAACTAGAGCTGTAGGTGGTGGAGCTGGAGTTGTAGAGGAAGATGAATAGGAGATAGTGACTGAATCTCCAAAAGATGGAACTGGTAGCACCTCAGAAATATCTAAGTGATTACCTGGACCTGTGAAGTATGATTGGGTTTCAAAGAAGGTAACATCAGCGGACATAAGGTAGCGCTGGAGGTCAGGAGAAAAGCATCGATATCACGTTTGCGTTCTCAGGTAACCCAGAAATACGTATTTAAGAGCACGAAAAGCGAACTTATCTTTTCCTGGAGTAAGGTTACGAACAAAACATGTGCTCCCAAATACACGGGGTGGAAGAGAACAAAGGTAAGTGGGGAAACAGGACAGAGAATGGAACTTGATTCTGCATAGCTGAAGATGGTATACGATTAATAAGATAACAAGATGTAAGAACTACATCCCAAAAATGCAACGGAACATGAGATTGTATGAGTAGGGCACGAGCAGTTTCAATAATATGCCTATTCTTTCTTTCAGATACCCATTTTGTTGAGATGTGTACGGACAAGATGTTTGACGAATAATCCCATGAGAGTTCATAAACTGCTGAAATGGGAAAGACAAATACTCTAGGGCATTATCACTACAAAATGTGCGGATAGAAACTCCAAATTGATTTTGAATTTCAGCGTGGAAGGTCTGGAAAATAGAAAACAACTCAGACGGATTTTTCATCAAAAATATCCAAGTGCACCTGGAATAATGGTCAATAAAACTGACAAAGTAGCAGAATCCCAAGGTAGAACTGACCCAACTAGGACCCCAAACATCTGAATGGACTAAAGTAAAAGGTGACTCTACTCGATTATCAAGACACCGAGGGAAATGGGAGCAGGTATGCTTACCGAGCTGACATGACCACACTCTAGAGTGGACAAATGAGATAAACTAGGTACCCTTTTCTGAAGTTTTGACAAATAGGGATGTCCCAACTGTTTGTGTAATAAATCTGGTGAATCATTACCAGGACAAGTTGTTGAAGGAAGACAAGATGTTAGTCCATGTGATTTTGCAAGGATAAGGTATTTAAGTCCATCTGATTCACGCCCGGTACCACTGACCCGCCATATATTGCTTTCTTGTATAAAAACAAGGTCATCATGAAATAAAACAACGTATTTAAGTGATTTGGCTAAGCAACTAACGGCTATGAGGTTAAAAGGACTACCGGAAACATAAAGAACTGAATCTAAAAATAGGGAAGAAAGTGGACTTGCTTGACCTATTCCAGTTGCCATGGTTTGAGACACATTGACCATTATGACTGTTGAAAGAGATTGAAAATATGAAATAGTAGTGAAAAGAGATTTATTATCAGAAATGTGATCAGATGCACTTGAATCAATGACCCAAGACTCGGAGGTTGTAGATTGAGAGACACAAGTCACGCTACTACCTGTTTGAACAACGGAAGTTATCTCTGAAGATGTCTGTTTACATGCTTTGTACTGAAGGAACTCAATATAATCCAGTAGAGAAACCATCCAACTATTCATAGTATTGGATCCCATTCTGCAACCAATTTTCTCAGGTTCTTGACAAGTTAAGCTGGAGACTTATTCCTTCTTTTTTTTGGGAAAAACACTGTGCACTCGCCGGAAAATAAGAAAGTTGTCGGAATTTGGTGTAACCTGGATGGGTAAGCTCGGAAATACCTCGCGACCATACTGTCCTCAAGAAGTTTCGACGGAAAGTGGCCAGAAACACCTGCACATGCCGGCGCGTGGGTCCCACGCGCCGGCGAATCTGTCGCTTTTAAGGCGCACGGGAGCGCGTGTAAGGTCCGTTGCCGGAGATTCTTGCTGGGATTTGCTCGCCGAAGGGTGCTTAACCTTGTGGTGGTGTTGGTTTCGCACAACACCAACAGAAAAGAGATTGACGCCGGACAGCCACCGGAATTCGCACAGTGACCCCTTTTTTTCCTTCCCGGAGTTGCTGATTTTTTTGCACAGCGATAAATCTCTCACGTATTAATGTTAATTGTAATACAATGAACCCTATTTATAAGTACACATAGTATATAACCTACTCCTATTACCTATGGGACCGGGACTAATTACATATATGTTCACATAGCTATTCTAACATTAAGACAACAAGATCTACGTTGGGGGGATTTCTGCTATTAGCAGCAACACAAGGAAGATATCGTTACAGCACTATTGATCAATTGTAACACGTACGTCTCTGTCTAATTTAAGGAACGTCCTGGACTGCCCCTTCCATTTCCTTCTCTTCCTTTTTTGCCAATTTGTATATGTTCCTTTCTACATTCCTCTATCATTACACACTTGCTATTCAAACCAAAAAATGCCATCAGACATCATGCAAGTTATGCTTAGGGTATCTGGACCAGACAAGTCTCCAAAGAGAAAAAGAGGAAATACTAGAAAAATGTCAAATGCATGGTTCGCCCACATACCTCAAGATTCAAAAAGGCATCATACGAGTTAGAGTGTTAATGCATGTTTTATAATTATATACCCCTCTGCTCCAAGTTAGACTTTTACCCCTTTCTTTTTGTCGTTTATCACATTCAATTCCCAGTGATCCCATCCCTATATTTCTTTTTTAGTAATTACCACCTGTATATTTCTCCCTATATTAAACCTCTCACGTCTTAAGAACTGGACATCTAAAGTGGAACTTTGTTCTCTTTCGAACCTGGTGTATCGCCAGGGTATGATTACCCCATGCCTCGTACAAAAGGATATGGCTACCTGATAACCCTAGGTAAATCTCACAGCGGCAAAACACGAAAGAGATGCCGGGTATATAAGGGATCAAGCCTTCAGACCTTAGTGGCACAGGAAATGCAGAGCAGCACGATCGCGGCGCTGAGTCCCTAAGCGGGGTGTATGTGACACCCTAGGCAAATCAAAGAGGGGAGAGATGAAGCAAGTCTTAGTTGCAAAGCCGTTTGGGCATAAGTTCTATTAAAATAGCAGCACTAACTCTTTCTGTAATAGCAGTAGTAACTCTCAATGCATTAGAGGATGTTTGGCTAAGCTTATAAGCTGGTCAAACTAGCTTATATGCACTTTTCGGCTTATCTACGCGTTTGGTAAAGTTAAAAGTGCTTATAAGCCAAGTGCTTATAAGCCAAGTGCTTATAAGTCAAAAATAAGCCAAAAGTCATAAGCTGGTCACCCCCAACTTATGAATTTTTAACTTATAAACACTTTAAGTTTGACCAAGATTTTTACTATTTTATCCTTAAAATATCCCTTTTTAGAAAAAAAATTTATATCGATACTCACAGCCTCAAGTATTCAACCTAACCACCCCCCTCCCCCCGCCTCTTCAAGTCTGCAATTCTCATTGACTATTTGAGATAAGCAAATTCTCTATTCCTTTGCATACTTATATTTATGTGACTGTGTATTGATCTTTGAACTATATGTAATAAATGAGGACATATCAAATTTTTGGTGTATTGCTTTCTAAGTGTTGTGGTGATGAAGATAAAGTTTGTTTCTCTTCAAATAATTTGTCCTATTTAGGTTTATTTTTTACTGAGAAACTTTTGTCAATTATATGCTTATCATAAAATAAATTATATTTATCATAAAAATTATCTTATCTAAGCACAATTGTATTTAAAATAAAATGACAAATAGAATATTTTGTATTTGAATCGATCTAGAATCTAAAATTTTGAAGAAATTACGCCCTTATGAGTGTAAGCAGTTCCAAGGTTATTTAAGTCATTTTAAAAGAAAAAGAGCTTATCTGCACTTTTTTATCAAATACTGTAACAACTTATTATCAATTTCAGCACTTGTACTCAAACACATAACTGTTTATCTATTAAACCACTTTCATTTTAAGTGCTTTTCAACACCTAATGCTTATCAGCTACTTCAAATAGCTAATCCAAACGGGCTCTTAGTACCAATGTAATATGTTGTATTACTCTACCTTAATAGTTAATATCTACAATGATATCCTTTGAAGCAAAACAAAACAGAAAAAAAAAAGGATAAGGAGAATCTAAAACAAAATCAAATTTTGGAAAACAGAAGAATGCATTTTCTACGACAATATAATGGGGTGTGTATACATTAAATGGTGTTACCTGCTAACGAGATTAGGGACGAAATCGGCAAGCCTTTCGTAGTCAGTGAGAGCATTCCAAACAGAATGCACATCAGCGTTCACCGAAATCTCAGCTTTAATCCTCCGTTCTCGCCAAGACACCACTTCCACTTCACACCGAACCTGCTTTCTATCTGCGGCAACCACCACATCTCCTCCTCCTCCTCCTCCTCCTCCTCCTCCTCCTAACAGCGAATCCTCTCTAATTCCTCCTTTTCTGCTATTGTAGGAATATGAATTCCTACTGCTTTTATCACTACTGACAATCTGATGCTTATTGACATCCAATCTAATACTGTATTCGGAAGCTGAGAAGATGGCTTGAGAACAAGAGCAAGATAGTACTGATGGAACTTTCTTCTTGTCATTCGCATAGTTTGTAGGTCCGATTACGAAACTGAAACACAAAGAACGCATGCTCCGACCAAAATTTTGTCAGTAAGAGAGAAATGGGTAGTAATGGTGACTAGTGAATGTGAAGAGCTTGGGAGTGAGGCGGACACAAGCGGTTATCTATTTTTAATTAAATTAAATTTGATAATGGCAGAACTAATTTTTATTGAGCTGCATAATCATGCATACTGTATGCTTTGTTGTGATGGAAACTGATGTGGTTGCCTTACTTATATTTGCGCTTGACCGTTAATTCCTGACCACATATTTACACTTGCTATGGATAGAGGGTAAGGAACGAGCGCTCACATAGGCTTATGATTTTATTTTATTTTTTGGATGATGATTGTAATTTGATTCGACAAAAAATTTAAAGGAAAGGAGATTTTTAAAGTTTTAAGGATAAAAGTAAAATAAAAAGTCTAAAGTTCAATTATTTTTAAATATGAAAATATTTCATTCTTTCTTACATGAATTTAAAAAAGAAATATGTTACATAAATTTAAACAGATGAAGTGTTTTTTTGCCTCTTTGAAGGAAAAATAGGTCGCGTAGATATTTGGTACTGGCACTTTAAAATTCTAACGAGGACTATAAGGAGAATCTTAAACTTTCATATTTCTAATGAGGAGAAATAAGGAGAATTAACCAGGGAGAAATTCAAAAATAGCCAGATTTACCACTGGTCGTTGAAAAATAGTCAAGTTTCAAAAGTCATCGAAATTTAGCCACTTTAAATCTGAGCGAAAACACTGTTCAAAATCCGGAAAAATACACCCGCAAATTTTACGGGAGTTCCAGCATAAGTATGCTTGAACTCCCGTAAATTTTTACGGGAGTTCCAGGATAAAATGCTGGAACTCCCGCAAATNATACTGAGCGAAAACACAGTTCAAAATCCGGAAAAAGGAACTCCCGCAAATTTTACGGGAGTTCCAGCAAGTATAATTGTCTAGTATAATATACTGGAGTTTGGAGCACTGGTGCTCCAGTCTCCCGCAAATTTTACAGGAGTTAGCAAAGTATACCGGTCCAGCATAATATGCTGGAGTTCGTACACAAATGCACCAGAACTCCCGTATATTATACTGGACCGGTCCCTGTTGCAGCAAAATAATGGCTATTTTTCATTGACTTGATAAACGCTGGCTATTTTTCATTGACCAGTGTGAAAACTGGCTATACCATGATATTTTAACAATTAACTGTGTAGTAGTGGTAAGGGGGTCACATTGCTAAAACAATTAGAATTTTTAACGCAAAAGAATTGTTGAAATTTAGCTCGTGGAAGATTATTTTTGACAGAAATAAGTTGTAGGTAATATGTTTCGATGGCATCAAAAGCTAAATCATAGCCTTTAACATGGGTAAGAATCATCTTTGGTAGCCGAGGTAAAAGCACGGCAATATAAAGATCCTATCTTAGTACGATTGAGAGAGAGCATTCAGCAGTGTAAAATTACGGCTTTTGAAATCGGAGGAGATGGGGCACTGAGATACCAGGGCCGATTATGTGTGCCTAATGTGGCAGGGTTGCGAGAGAAGATTATGAATGAGATTCATCAATCCCGATATTCCATCCATCCCGGCTCGACAAAGATGTATCATGACATTAAGGAGCAGTATTGGTGGGATAACATGAAGATGTCTATTGCAGAATTTGTAGCCCAGTGTCCTAATTGTCAACAAGTAAAGATCGAACATCAGAAACCCGGTGGATTGCTTCAGAATATAGAGATTCCGACCTGGAAATGGGAGGTGATTAATATGGACTTCATTATTGGATTACCTCGCTCTTATCATAAGTTTGACTCCATCTGGGTGATAGTTGATCGACTTACAAAATGTGCCCATTTTCTGCCAGTTAAGACAACTTACACGGCTGAAGATTATGCGAAGTTGTATGTCAAGGAGATTTTTAGGCTTCATGGTGTACCAATATCTATTATATCAGACCGAGGAGCTCAATTTACGGCTAACTTTTGGAGGTCTTTTCAGAAGGGTTTAGGCACAAAAGTGAATCTCAGCACTGGATTTCATCCACAAACTGACGGACAGGCTGAACGTACCATTCAGACACTTGAAGATATGCTACGAGCATGTGTTCTAGATTTTAAGGGAAATTGGGATGACCATCTTCCACTCATAGAATTTGCCTACAATAATAGCTACCATTCCAGTATTAAAATGGCCACATACGAGGCACTATACGGGAGGAGATGTAGATCACCAGTTGGATGGTTTGAAGTCGGTGAAACAGAATTATATGGGCCAGATTTGATTCACCAAGCCATTGAGAAGGTAAAAGTGATACAGGAGCGATTGAGGACGGCACAAAGCAAGCAAAAGTCTTATTCTGATGACCGACGTCGTGATCTGGAGTTTGAGGTTGGTGATTGGGTTTTCCTGAGGATCTCGCCGATGAAGGGTGTTATGCGTTTTGGGAAGAAGGGTAAGCTGAGTCCACGGTATATCGGTCCGTACAAAATTCTTCGACGAATTGGACAGGTTACTTATGAGTTAGAATTGCCATCCGAATTGGAATTTGTCCATCCGGTATTCCATGTATCTATGTTGAGGAAATGTATTGGAGACCCTTATCGAGTTGTCCCTATCAAAGATGTACAAGTTACAGAGGATCTATCATATGATGAAGTTCCAGTGGCTATATTAGATCGACAAGTCCGCAAGCTGAGAACAAAAGATGTAGCTTCTGTCAAAGTATTGTGGAGGAACAAGAATATGGAAGAAATGACATGGGAAGCGGAAGAGGAGATGAGGTCTAAATACCCTTACCTATTCCAGAATGAAGATAACAAGGATGCTGGTGGAACGCAGGATGCATTGGAAGGTGAAACGGCTCTATGAGCCTTGTGAGGCCATACGTTGGGCTTAACTGCTTGCAAGTTTTGCTAGTAATCATTTTATAGGGGAAAATTGACCGGAAATTTCCGTTGGAATCCACGATGATTTGGACTCCCCATAAACCCTTACATTCGAGGACGAATGTTCCTAAGGGGGGGAAGGTATTACAACCCATATTCGCATACGTTAGTTCATGCATAAGGTCTTCAACGTAAATCCATGAAGAGATTATCTTTAAGATGATAAGAGGTTAATCCTATTGGTCTTAAATGATACAAAGATGTATAAGGGTGGTTAACAAGTATTAGAAGTTAAACGAATCAAGGATGTTGTCAGCTGTATTTTTGGGTAAACCTAGGGGTGCTTAATACTCTCAAGAGGTCGTATTTTAAGGTATATGAATCATAAAATATCCGTATCATAGTCTTGAAGTCAAACGAGTTATGAAACAAAAGTCGACAAGAGTTGTTGCAACTTAGGTTCATAGTTTTACTTAAACTTTAGGTCAAATGTTATTAAGCTTTTCTCCCAATATACTTAGAATTACGGGGTGATCTACCCACCAAATTTAAGATCTATGAGTCTAGTTTCCAACGCATTAAACCTTTTATCAATACGACATTGGAGTAGAGAGATATAGACATTTTTGCGAGACTGCACAAGCTGCTAGGTGACAAGTAGGTGGCTCACCTACTTGGTTAAATGATAGCCCAAAAATAGGCAATTTCGGGTCAGACAAAGAGCCCATTAAAAGTCTTATCTCCTGCAATATATCCCTCATTATATTTCACAAATAACCAGACCTAAACCCCTGCAAACTTCCTCCCAAAAATTATCCACAAACCCTAATTGATTTTCCCTCTCTTTCAAGTTCAAATTGGGGGTAAACCCTAGAGTTTGAAGAACCAAGATAAGGGCTGAGTTATCCAACAAGTAAGGTGAGTTTACTGCTATCGTTCATACATTTATTCTGCTGTGAATTCATGGTAATTCGTTCTATACATGTAAGAACTCACGGGACGGAGATCGGAAGCCGTGAGTTCGAGTTATTCACTTGTAGCGGACTGTTTTGTGGACTGTTTTGTGTTGCTGTTGGGCTGCGTGTTTTACTACTGTTTTGTGGATTTTTGGAGGAGGAAGGGTGTGGAGAAACACCATATAGATGTAGGGTTGTGGGCTTGTAGTTCTTCGTAACATTTCCGGGTCGTTTGACACGACTACGATGGCCGTCATATGTATAAAGTGATTAGGTTGTGCGTGGACTGTTTTGGGAGGCTCAATATGATTATTATTGATGTTGTTTAGGCTGTTTGGTGATTGTTTGGAATTGTGTGAAGTCATATATATAGGGGAGGTGCTGTCCGTTTCATCGTAAAATAGGTTGTGGTCGATACATAATAGTTATGACGCTTGAATGGTAACTATAGTATCGTTTCTCTTATTGTAGACTAAGGAGTCGTGAAAATTGCATAGCTTGAGATTGGGGCAGTATATACAAGGTATGTGAGGCTATCCCTTTCCTTCCTTTGCACGACTCCGATTGTACATAATGTAATGAACGAGCTTCCAAAGATACTCTACTCTTAGAAGCTAGCAGTACTTACATTGTTTCCCCTCTTATGGAACGAATGATGGTGATGTTGCTTCTCTTATTCTTATGTTATCAATGTTATTGGTACTTCCTGATTCTTATAAGGTTCATGGTGAAGAGTTAGTCCTAATACCGTGTACACAGGATACCGACCTTACGTCACTCCGAAAGGTTTAGAATGTGAGTCCATGAGTCGAGCATGCATTATATATATGTATCCATTTTACTCTACCGAGCCGCGCTATAGACGGCCGGGTATGGCACCTATTGTGCAACCACTGATCAGTTGGGTTTTACCGAGCTCCACGTGTCCGGGTACGATTTTACCAAGCCTTATGATGGCCGGGTACGTTTTTACCGAGCCTATTACGGCCGGGTACGATATGATGATGATGATGCCCACAGAGGCTTATGTTTTAAAAGTTTATGTATATATACATATGTATCACGCATTTTATGTCAGTAGCCCTCAGAGGTACCCAGATGTTACAGGTTGTTTATTCTCTATCCCTGCTTACATTACTGTTCGTACTTATGGTTCCCTGCCTTACATACTCAGTACTTTATTCGTACTGACGTCCTTTTATTTGTGGACACTGCATGTCGTGCTTCAGGTCCTGATAGACAGGCAGGCGCAGCTCCCCCACCATAGTAGGCTGTCCAGTTCAGCGGTGATTGGCGAGATCCCTTCTTCGGACTTACCGTGGTCTTAGTATGCATTTTTGTTATAGACATTATGGGTATGT